CGGAAGCAGAATTTTGGTTGATATTTTGGTTATACTTGTAATGCAGACGTATTTGTGCAAGTAGCCCATATAGATAAGAGTATTTGGAGCACTAAACAGATACAGATACAGATAGTGCCTATGCTTTACACCCCTATTATACACATGTCACCATTCATTCATTAATCTGTTTGATATATGGTACCTTAGAGGGTGGCTTGGAAAATATGAAGTAATTAATATAAATTAAGATCATTGGATGTCCATTATGGACATGCAGTGGAGCACATGAAGAACAATCACTCATTTGAATGCTGATGTACAAAACAATCGAAAAGCAATAAGTGATTTTTCATAGCAGATGCTGAAGTGTCTGAATAGTGCAGGACTAATTTCTATGCTTGTAAAGATGTACTGAGATTAACTGATTATGCAGAGCTCATAAAGATGTTATTAAGTATTATTTTGGCATATTTATACTTTACTTGAGTATTACAGAAATTGAATACTTGCACTTTTACTTAACTACATTTCCAAGAAAAGACATGCCTTTTACTCCTTACATTTTTATCTAGACCGTCTAGTGCTCGGTACAAATCTCAAAGGTCTCTTTGTCTCTTATTCAGCCAATGACTCTACGCTATATATTAAATGGGATTAGTTTAGCGTCCAGTCAAGTACATCAATGTAGAAAAAAACCTATCGAGATCGTCACTGTCCATGACCTTCTCATGGTACACAATGTAGTTAGCTCTTCAGCTATCCGTGTGTGTTAGAAGAAGGATAATCCAACAGAATGCAGTGTTCAACTTGAGGATGAGCGCCTTGGCTCTACCTCAGTAAAATGTTTCAGTATACTGGAATAAGTAAAGACTCGTAGAAAATGAGGCGTCTCCTTTATCTTCCTAGAAGGTATGAACTCCATCTAATTTAAAAAGCTAAGTTTAGCTAACTTGCTAACATTAGTTAGCTGGATTTAACTAAGTTAGCCTATTTTCTTTGCTAATGCCAGAGTAGACTAGCATCGATTCCAGAAGTTAACATAAATTTGCTAGGCATCCAGTCAATTTCTAGCTTTAAATATTGCAAATGTACAGAGAATGAATGATGTTTTCAGGTAAAACGGTATCATTGCTTTAAAATAAATTTATCTTCTAACAGTTTTAGATAAGTAATAGTTACTTTTCATGATATTTGTTTTCTTCATAATACTTGAGTACATGTAAAAGTAACTTTTTTAACTTTCACTTCAGTACATTTTTTACCTCCACTTTTAATTAAGTAAGGTTTTGACACATTATCTATACTTTCACTTCAGTATCAGTATTTCACTTCAGTATTTCTCAGTACTTTATCCATCCCTGTGTACAGTACATCTTGTAATCCAACAGAAGTGGGTTCTATTGTTAGCATTATTATTCTCACCACTGAATAATGCCTCAGGTAATTAAGATATCTTAACTGAAATACAACAACGCTCCTGACCCTTATCATCCACATAACACTTTTCTATTTTTGTTAATATTGCTGTATTTTGTTAATTATTTCTTGGCTAGTGTCATAATTCACACCACTGAATAGCAATATGCCATGTGCAGTACATTTTATATCTGTAGGAAGTGGGCATTACTCAATAACACCTCAGATAATTAAAATAGCTTTTTAATTTGAAATACAAAAGCTCTGCTATCCACTATCATCCACACAACACTTTTATAAATGTTCTATTTTAAAAATATTGCTGTTTTGTTCATTATTTCTTGTCAACATCATCATTCACACCTCTGAATAACAAAATGTCATGTGTATCAGTAGGAAGTGAGTGTTACTCAATAACACCTCAGGTCATTAAAATGTTTTAGAATAGTTGACATGCAGCAGTGTTACTGACCAATTCACTTAACACATTATATACTACTGCATTTGTGTAATTTTGCAGATTGTTTATTATTTTTTGTTCAGTATATGATCAAGTTTTACTTATTTAATCATTTTTGTCCTATTCAATTTAACACATTCTACAAAGGTCATATTTTTAACATATTTATAACACATTCATGTCACGTTACAATGCAATAATAAGGTATTGTATTGTTTATTATAATAATTTATGAAAATGAATTACACTTTATAGATATACTTCTAATGCACTATGAATTGTTAACATGATGCATTATATATAATATTCATTACATCTTATATCGTTGATACCAAAGATACTGAGCCCTCTTTTGTATAGTGCATCATGAGTCATGATTTTTTTTAACACACACACACGCACACACACACTAACTATCTATATCTCCACACTGAAACAAGATATGAATATATAATAAATGCAAAATATGTGCCTGAAACTTCATAATTTCATTTGCTATGACATTTATTGGTAATGCCTCACACCCAGTAAATGTAAGAGAGATTAAAATCTGTGACAACATACCCCGCTCTCTCCTACAAGGAATGAATTATATCAGAAAATCATACTTCAAAACTTCTATAACATTCCATAAAGGTTGTATCTATAATAAACTATAAACACATTCATATCATGTAATAATGCCTTCATAAGGCATTATACACATTATTATAATTTATGAAAATGAATTACACTTTATAGCTATCTTTATTATGCATTATGAATCATTAATATGATCTATTATATCACCAAGCCCCACTTTGCATATATAGTTGTTATAACATCAGTGATATCAGGACCTATCAGGACGCTCCACAACATTAAATGTAACTATAAATGGATGAAAATGTCATTCTTTAATTAAAAAAAAAAAAAAGCTCAGCAAACTGATAGTGTATAATAACACTATCACTAGAACTAACACTAGAATAAACATTTTGTGACATGCTGTTTTAGGAAAATAATCAACTTTGGGGTGGTAAATGTAACTCAAGCTTCAAACTGCAAGCTTCATATGAACCTATCTATCTATCTATCTATCTATCCCCTCATACTGCATCTGTATATATAGAATGTGTTTGCACTAAATTTCATAACTGTAAAATATAGTTCAAATATGAAAGCATGACTTATTTAATATACCATATAAAACTTTTAAAAAGTGACATTACACAGATATTTTAAAGCACCCAGAAACAATAAGCAGTTTCATCACTATGCCTCGGAGAGACGGCGGAGCGCATGAGGACGTAAGAGCGTCGAAATATAACGCATCAGCAGCAAGGGAGTAATCAAACTGTCGTTTGGCTCTCAGCGGGCCCTGCTGTTCAGCTGTGTTAGCTGCAGTGTGTGATGGAGAGCAGAGAATAGCTGCAGAGGCCAGAACGAGTGTGTGTGTATGTGTGTGTGTGTGTGTGTGTGTGTGTATGGACACCGAGAGGCTTGCTAGAAAACAAACTGTGCTAAACAAGGACAGCACTCAGGTGGAAGTTGTATAGATATGCTTCCTTCATGTGCCTTGACTAATGTAATTCAGAGTGTGTGTGTGTGTGTGTGTGTGTGTGTGTGTGTGTGTGTAAAATATGTGTCTGATACTATTCACTATTTGACATCTTCCTGATAGCAGATGTTTTTGTTTGCACTCTTATTTCAAGTACTTACTTTTAAATATTAATAACATTTAATGTAAAAGTGTTACCAGTATTTTGACTATGTGATATTGAAATCTATCTGAATATCCTGTTTACACCCTATTTACTTCAGTTCTCCTACAATGACCAAAGCCTGTCAGTCATTTTATAGTGTAATTGATATCTTATTACATGAAATACAGAAAAACACAGCTTTGTATTGAATATATACAGTTCAGAGCACTTATTGTTTAAGTGCTATTTCTTTTTATGTCTTGTGTTCATGGAAAGTTCCCAGAAATTAGCAGAGGATGGTTTCGATCCATCGACCTCTGGGTTATGGGCCCAGCACGCTTCCGCTGCACCACTCTGGTGACCACTCACCCCAGACGGGACTTGAACCCACAATCCCTAGTGGATAGGCCAGTGCCTTATCCATTAGGCCAGTGCCTTATCCATTAGGCCACTGGGGCACAGGCATCTATGATAATAGCCCCATTAGGTTATGTGAACTTATTTCTTCGCTTTAATTCCAATTGTCATGACAAGTTTTGGATATTTAACTAAAGTTCATAAGTTTTGAAGAATGGAACTTAAAGTAATCCATTGTTTTGACTTTGAGTTGAAACAGAGGTTATTTTCAAGTTGAGTTTATTCATGTTTTTAAGGCAGCAGCTGAACTTTTGTTCCTAAGTTCAATCCCACACTAGTGACAGATCACTGAAAATCAGGCCTCATTATGTACAGTTTTAGAGGTCAGGCAGTGGTGGGAGGATTACTGCTAGCTTCTAAATGATAAAATCATCTATAAATAATAACCATCTATAGACTGTTAACTACCTGTCTGGTGACTGTCAATAACCAGCCTATCAAAGTAATATATTATTTACTGCTCTAGTATTAAACTAGGATTTCTAGTAGACATCAAAAAAGTTCTAGTCGGAGATGACAGTTACCTTTTGATGGTGAACCATTATTGATTAGTTCATGGCTATAAAAAGAACAGTTCAAAGTGGTTATATTTTGTTTCACTTTACTTTGCTCCTTTTTACCAGAGAAAGTAAATAAAATGAAAAATCTATGAAAGTGTGTGAAAATTCTCCCTTGTCTGATCTAATGGCTGTAGCTCTGTAGTTGGTCTCTGCTAAACACTCACCCCAGATGGGACTTGAACCCACAATCCCTGGCTTAGGAGGCCAGTGCCTTATCCATTAGGCCACTGGGACACAAATGCAAGCAAATGGAAAACTACCGTTACTCAAAAATGGCTAGTATTTTTTTTTTCCCCCCATACATTTATTATAAATAAAATAAGGGTATGCATCAGCCAGATGAAAATCCCTGAATTATTGTAATTCAGAGTGTGTGAGTGTGTGAGTGAGTGTGTGAGTGAGTGAGTGTGGGTGTGTGTGTGTGTGTGTGTGTGTGTAAAATATGTGTCTGATACATATGTGTTATGTGGTTGGGGTTTGTTCCAGGGCCAGGAATTGAACTCAGGCCATGATGGCGAAAGCACTAAGGCCTAACCACTAGACCTCCAGGGACCCTGTGTTACTGAATGACATGTAATACTTTTTATCTGTTTATAGCTACATTAACTTTGTGGAACATCTGTGAAACATGTTAGAACAGTCATTTTCTCAACAGCCTCTCTTTTTTCTCTCACTAGAAGTTATTCGTCTTGTTACAGAGAAACCAGAAAATCCTCTGTCCTAAAGACTTTCCCTTGTCTGAAAACTTAGTGACATTAATGTAAACCTGTGATTTGAGTTACAGCCGAAACTACTGTCAGAGCTGCTTTTATAGAAAATTGAGCAACACCTTCTGGCCAATCAGATTTGAGAATTCAACAACGCTGTGGTCTAATCTGCATTCTAATATTCTTACCTTATGTTGTGTTTCCAGCTTGTCCTACATTAACTACTGTTTCTGGACAGGTAAATGACATTTACTGTAAAAGTGTTACCAGTATTTTGACTATATGATATTGAAATCTATCTGAATATCCTGTTTACATCCTATTTACTTCAGTTCTCCTACAATAACCAAAACCTGTCAAGAAGTGTTATCTCTTTTTATGTCTTGTGTTCAAGAGCAATGTCATGAAAAAAAACCCAGAAATTAGCAGAGGATGGTTTCGATCCATCGACCTCTGGGTTATGGGCCCAGCACGCTTCCGCTGCGCCACTCTGCTAATCACTCACCCCAGATGGGACTCGAACCCACAATC